AGCACGGGCGAGGTTTCCACACGTTGCACGTGCTCAAGATCGTAGACCTTCCTGACGTTCGACGAATTACATAACAGCCTCGGCGCGGTTACCGATAATACATAAAGTGCAGCTCTACGTGCAACGTATGTGCATGCGCGCGCACTGCTCGTGCGTACGTACGTTACGCATGTGTGCGCGCGTGTAACGCGCGCTGCGATTACGTGTACGCACACACCGAGAAGTGCGTGGAACGGAGAGCTGCGAAGTTCGGGTTATGAATAGCACGTGAGTGACCACGAGGTTCCCGTCACATGCTCGCGGACAAGTTTCCCGAGCCGTTGTCACGAGCGGCGACGTCGGCGGCTCGTCCGCATGATTTTGAGTCGGCAACAGCATTTTCGGCACGTTCTTGCACAACCGGCCGAATCTTTCGAGCACCCCGAGTACCGCGTGTGATTCTGTCGGGAGGATGGCGCACGGCTCGCGTCGTCAACTCCCCGCGCCCGCCGTTCTCCATTAAGAATTCGCGATTCTACGCCGAACGACGTTTCCTTCCCTTCTTTTCTTGCTGATAAATTCTTTCTAATTTTTTTTTATGCTTGTCAAAATTATCTCCGAGAACGCGAATTATTTTTATAGAAACACTGAAACGTGCAGTAAGACGTGACCGGAAATATATACAGATCATCTCGGAGATTATTCGTAGAGGAAAGTTCCCTGTTACGAGATAAGTTCCTAATATGAGATAGCGGCGTTGCTGCTAAATTAATCATCGGTTGGTTCCATCGTGAATTTATTGCCCTTGGAGTAAAATCTGTTTAGTGGAAAATTCCTTGTTAGAAAAGATTTGTGATTGAATTTCGATGTTGGAAACCTGCTGTCTCATATTAGGAGCCTATCTTATAACAGGGGACCTTCCTCTATAACTGATCAATAACAAAAATTATAATTCTTGGAAGCCTCGTTCGTCTTTTAAACAGTCAACTCCAAATCGGTCATAAAATCTCGTAGAAAATTTACAGCGAGTCAGTTTTGCGACATGCTATAGTGACAAGAGCATTCGTTGCTCGTTAAATAGCTTAAATAGAAGATGCGGCGTCTGGAAATGTTAATAATAAGACCTTTCCCAGAACAATCTTAGAATCCGCCATAAAATTTGCAGTAAGCCGTCTTGCGACGCTCCATCTCGACACCCGCGACAGCCAAGAGTGCTCATTGCCGAACTGCGCGAAATTGCTGAAGATACAGCGTCTAGGACTGTTAATAATAGACTTGCACTAAGAGAATAGCGCGTGTCACGTTTGCGCGCGGTGTTCCGCAGAACGCATTTGGACCTTACGCGCTATTTTTACCTATCGATACCGTCCGCCTCATTTACGGTCTCCGTTCGTCACACCGTCCCCTGTTTTGCTCCAGAATAGTTATTTTACGATCTTTTAAGCGTCAAACTCGCGGCGATATCGATAATTTTCACGCTCCTCGCACTGGCAAGCGTTTGTTCCATCTTTTCCCGTGGATGCCCGGTCTTGCGCCTTGAAAGGTCAAAGAACTTTGGGGACCATTTGCCAATTCTAGTATTGCTGATACATCTATAGTTTCCGATGTGCATAATGCTTCTAACATTTTAGAAGCGAAATGGAGAAATGCATCAGCCGACAGGGAAATTTTCTGTTACACAATTTGAAGGAACGCATTCTTGTAGGCGAAGAAACATATTTGAGAGCAAATATCAGAACCTTAATAGCCGCGTGGACCAAATTAGTACACGAATGTCAGATACTTGTGCAATTGTTTTGCGATAACCTTCTCGTCCATCCATTCGATCTGACTCGGGCGGTTGAAATTTTCAACGAGCGATATTTTTATCCGCCCGGGAAAATTTTCTACAATTGGTCACGTCAAGATGTTTCCGGTAACATGTTGGATCGATATCTATTGCGGGAAACCTGTACGGATTAATTAATTGGTAGCGCACATTTCTCGCGACACTATACAATTGGCAAATGGGGGGATCCGCCGTATGATTCATATGATTCATTGAGCATATTTGACACACACATGCACACAGCCTTCCAGTGTTACACTCCAGCCGTGCATTCTCGCGGTATTTTTTTAGCCACACCATTTCGGCGTTGCCCGCCCGTTTTCGAGCGCGAGCTAAAGTTGGCGTGCGTAATTCATTTCGATAAGGTGTTTGCGTCCCAAGAGTTACATAACACTTTCATTGTCACGCACTGATCGATATTACAGTATAGAGTGTATTGATAGAACGGTATTGAAGTAGCGAGACATATTCGTCGGCTATCGCGTACCATGTCATAACAGTTTGTGAACTTGACACTTAATCTGGTACTCGCTTATCAGAGATATACGTGCTCCCTGTAACGTATCATAATGTACACAGGCTTGAAGAAAGGTATTCTTTGACCGATCCTCATGGGCTGAGCAGTTTGAAAGTAGTTTCGATCGAACGTATTTTGAAAACATGTACTTAAAAAGAATATTTACACCGAGATAGAAATAAAATAGAAATAAGTATATTACTCCAGGTTAGTTATTTGTCCCTTCATAATTTTAGACTTCGTGCTCCGAGAAATCCAATTAATCTAAGTAGATTTTAAGCGCTCGTGTTAAAATCTTGTTTTTTATCGTGCCTTTACTGCTTTTAATGCAACATACTAAGTTATTCACGTAATGCAGCTTACGTAAGCCTGACAGAAGGACAAGTGTAGTTTCTGAGCTGATTTCTCAGTGTTAATATTTTCGTCAAGCAGAGACGTTCGAGGAAGTCGTATTATAACCACTTTTTAGCTTTACGACGGTCATAAAACACTATGTTTGCCAAGTAATTTCTTATGTCATGTCACATCATTTGATGTCGAAGATTATTTTAAGATCAAGCGTTATCGATCTCAAAGTTCAACTAATCGCCTGAGTTTTTTTTTAGTATCAGATATCGATAGTATCGGATATTGAACTCACTGAGACGACAAATTGTAAGACACTTTACATAAACTTACCGTGCTAAATAGTTAACACGCTTTTTTTAACGTGAAATCTAATATTGGACGGTACATAAATTATTCGTTCCAATTTGAAAAACACGATAATACGAAAACTTGATTAGCATATCTTTTCTACCGAAACGTTTCTCGCAAATTGCCCTTACTGGTCTCTCTATTTTATTACAAATTAGCATTTATTTGGTAGCGTTTGGTCTATTTTGGACAGCTGACAATTAAAATGTTAACTAACATAAAGGAATCCAGATTAATATATTTATACTAGATATCTAAGTGACGGGACCGTTTTCTCATATTGATTTCCTTAAGAGAGGGTAATGGCCCTTTGCGCCAGAAACGTATCGTATTTCTCAAACTAATCATGTGTCTCGTAAGAAAGTGTAGAAAAACCATACCAAGAATCTGAAACTTTCAATGTGTTTAGTAGGCATTACCAAAGATTGTCACAACATATTTTTTGTGCCTTACCACATGTTCAGGGATTAAAGATCAGGTTACAAGGCTTTACGAAAAAATATCCTAGGACTGTCTCGAAACTATGCTTATTGAGTGCCGGTATATCATTACTTTATGTTGTCTTTTTATTGTATATAGCTCTGTATATTAATTTTATTTTACGTACATATATATTCAGTAATAGTTTTAGTAACTGCGGCTTATCAGCGACTCAACTTTTTATGTTTCCAGCAACTTGGCGATTCAATATTTTTCACGAAAATCGCATTTTAACCGTGCTGGATAAATATTTAGACAGTAATTAGCGACACTTATCTAATATTTTATATTAGGAGAAAACTGTATAATTATATACGTAATGATGTGATGATTCGTTCTTAATAGTAAGTCTCAAAGTCCAAAGCTAAAGTCCCATGTCGGTTCGAGGAACTCTGCTCGCGCTTTCACACCTCGTGATACGATAACTAGTTAAATCATCAGGTCATGCGTATGTTATTCCCGTTGCGTTCGAAGGTGTAGCCTCTTTTCAGTAAGGGATCCAGTCGGAAAGTGGATCGGTAAGAGATCAAATTGCGCGGAGGGAGGAAAAGAGAGAGAGCGTTGGCCCTATGTTTTTGACAATGTGCCTAGGCCGTTCTATAACAGTCCGACGTTCTAAATCATTATGCTTCGACTATTCGTGAGGCATCGTCTTAGACGTCAACCTGCCACGAGGACGAGGAGCAAAGTGCGCTCGCCGTTTCGTCATCCACGAAGCCTCGACCTGTCTATCGAAACGATAGACGCGCAGATCTCATTTAAATCGTTAATTAAATTATTTTCTCTTGTTGCCGATTTTTTTCGTACTTATGAGAATCAGCCCGATAAAGTAGACTTATAGAACGTGTCGCCAATAAATCGCTGGAAGAAAATTAATTATCTCTTCAGGAGATCCATCAACCTCTCTTTTTTTGCATCCGTAATATCGCAAAAAGATGATGAATGTATAATATAAAAATATTTTTACCACGCAATTGAAATTTTCGATATTCTTTTTCAATTAGGACGGCATCGGTTGATGAATAAATCGATTATGGCCAATTTGCGCAGTTGTATAGAAAGATCGTTCGGCCAGTCCGAAAATGCGCGAACACCCTTGGACTTTCCTCTCACCCGTAGTTTGTCGTGTTTTACCGAGTATCTTTGCGGAAAAACGACCATAAAGTGTTCGGTTTCTTTCACCTATTTTGTTTCATAACAGCGGGATAAAATGTATGTGCATTTTTATGGAAATCTTCCTGGCAATTCTTACTGGACTACTACCATCTTCTATAACTTGTGCACTACAGCGAGGAAGGCGGTAAAAGGGCCGAAGAGATCGAAACCGCTTTTAAAATAGCCGAGGAACAGGAAAGAACGGAATCGCGAGCCTGCCCTCGCGAGTGCCCCGTGTGCGACGGGGCCAGCACACATGATGGCGCAAAATCGTTCGCGTTGCACAGTCGCAGACGACCGCGGAAAATCGAAGCGACGAGCATCGTGGCGCGGTGCATGCCGACGGCCGCGCCAGTGCAGTGCCGCCGGGACGACCTTAGAGGATTCCGCGGCTCCTCGTCCTGACGGAAATAGTGCGCGGCCGGTATGCATTATACGTGCGTGGACGACGAGGGGAATCCCGATTTCGATTGCCATTCGGCGACGACGCCGCGAGAGGAAACTCGACGTCCTCGAAGCCGGCGCTGAGCTGCCGTGCGTCCGCGAGGACTCCGTTTCCGGCCTCGACCGGGTCTCGCGTTGACTGAAATTACGTGAAACGTGGTCCTCGGAAGCACGGCGGGCGTGGCGACCTTGTCTGTTTTCTTGCCTTTGTCTTTGATACAAAAAAAATTGTCCTTAATGAAAAACTGCAAATGAGAATATCGTTTCGAAGATTTATCTCCAAGTGGAGGGTCATTCGCGGAGAGTCTTTACGATTCTGAGATCGTAAAGCGACGTTTTTCCCGGGGAAAAGAATCGTTTCTGGTGCTCACTACCTTGCGGTCTTCATGAGATTACGTAATTTTCTCGGCCCGGCTGTCTGTAAAACCTTCCTTTCTTCGAATGCATATTAAAATGACGAATGAAAATATTCTTTCACGCGATAAGAAAGAAATAACGTAAAAAACGTCAGCACTTATATAAAGTATTTTATCTCTACTAAATAAGTGTTTTGAGTTCGTAGGTAAACCAGAAAGAAAATTCCTAATTAATATGGAAAATGGTTGATTGATAAAACATTGAACTGCCCGTAGTTTTCATCAATGAAGAAACAAAGTAAGCGACTTCTGACAATTTCAGTTTTAAGAGAACAATTTCTCAGTCAATTTCAAGGCTTTGTTAATTTTTAATTTGAAACTCGATTACTCGAAAATAGACGATATCAAAATTAGGCAAGTTAGTTAAGCGGCGATACGAAATTTTGTTGCTAAAGAAAGGTCGATTCCGCGAACCGCATTTATTTATAGCTCTATGGATTATTGCGGAATATAATTTCATTAAGAATCCATCGTGTAAGAATATCTTTTGTACGAAAATATTTCCTCTCGTCACATAATATATTTATTCACTATCGCTGGTATTTTTCTTCTGCGTTTTCCTTCAGACCGCAGACCGCTGTAAAACTGTATTTCCTCGACAATTCCTTTCCTCGCAAATTTTTCGTAACGCACGATGCGCGATTATAAAGCGGCGTATCTTTTTAACGAACATTATAAGTGCGAGCCACACTATACGACATGTAAGGCACATTCGCGCAGCAAAACAGATTTCAAGGAAAAATTATTTTCGACGCCAAGGACGATTTTTCGTAATGTACGATCTGGTACGGCGCGAATGCACAATGTTGAGGGTCGGGTATGTTTGCGGGACGCAAATGCAACGAGCGCGTTTCTACTTACAATTAGTGTCCCGAAGCGCCGGGGTTTACGGTAGATATTTTGGGTATCAATCTCGAATCCGGGGTAACGAACGACGGTTACTCGGATACTCGAGTACGGAGGATATTGTACTCGACGTGCACGGCGGGCACTAGTCCACCTGCACGATCAATGAAACATACCATCCAGATATTAATACGCCCGCGCGATATCTAGACGTTTTAACGTACGGTTCGCTTGAAACGTAAGCCAGGACGGAATCTGGAACGAGAATGCGATATGTCGTATGTTATGTACACATGTGTATGTTGGGGACGACACTCGGCATTGCGTTTCAAAAATAATTCGTGTCGCAGAGAGCAGATAAATCCTTTTTTTTTTTTATTCTTCAATTTTTCCCTTTAATCACGTTCAAGTTAAAAATTGTCATTTTTCAGATAATAGTATCTCGAATAAAATTGTATTTCCGCACTCGAAGGATTTGAAAGAAGTAACGTATTAATAGGAAAAGATAGCGTGCAGTGATGAAAAGAGAGATGAGATTAGAGATGAAGATAAGAATCTTTGAAATCTAATGATGATGATAATTGGGCAAACCGGAATGAATCGTAAAATATTTTCGGCTGCAAATATGCCTGCCCTCCTGAGACACTAATGTCCTTTCAATATCGCGCGCATCACCGGCAAAAATTAGCACTTTTTAGTGATCGTACTATAATTGTTCTCAGTGAGCGCTCGCGCTCCTACTCGAATCCGAAAAATTCGTCGCTTTTTTAATCTTAGAGCTTCGTCTTATGTATATTTCTACCGATGCGGATCAATTCTGATCTCGGCTCAACTTTCTATCTTTCTCCAGTTTTAAGAACTCCGGTTTCACCAATGTCGCTTAACTTTAACAATAAGCTTAGCTTAATTCGTTCTTTGTCTCTCTCCAACTGTTACTCTGGAAAGAGACAGACATGAATTAAACTAAGATTAAAGTTAAGCGACGTTTGATAAAACCGGGCCTTAGAGAAAACTGAACCGTGATTAAATTTGATCTGTATTGGCAGAAATGGACAATAGAAAATCAACTGGCAGATATGTAGCGAGCGTTGTTATTCGCCTTCTAACTTTCATAATGTAGTAAATGTCAAGGCGAGAATACATTTGATACTTTGTGTTTGTCGACAACGATTCGAGTGCAGTTTACGAGCCGTATACTCCACAATAAAATCACACGATCTATTAAACCGCCATTGAATAAAGTATACTTTTTATTTTACCTCAGTCTTTTCTGTCATCTTAAAGCTGCGATATATATGATAAAAATAAAGCCGAGACACTTGCACAGTTTCTTATTAATTAAAAGAAAACCATCAATGTGGCTTTTCAGCGCGTTTCTTCATTTAGAAGAAGCGCTCTCTGTTTTAAAAGATTCACGCCAGTAATTTCAATTAAACCGGAGCTTAATAGAGAAGCGGCAAACCGTCTGCCCGGACCTCGTAAAATTTTCATCACTCTACTGAAATAGGAAGTAACAGCTCGCCTATCATTTTGTTTGCAGAATTATTGACATTGCCGTTACATTATTCAAATGTTTCTCACATTCATTTTCATGAATTCGTCATTTAATCTTAGGAATTTAACGAGGGGCAAACCGCTGAGAGCATTGTGGCGTACAGACTTGCGGCATTACTGGGCATTAATAGGCATTTTTTAGGCATTAGGCTTTGCTGGAGCATCATAAAGATAAAATAAGATAATAATATAAAGTAATGCCCACTTGGCGTTTAGTAGGCATCGGTGTACGTGATTTTGGTCAGCGGTTAACCCCTCGGAATTTAATCTGCAGTACTCGATTCAGTAATGAACCGATCAATCGAGGATGAAGGAGTCGGGCGTCTCTCGAGACGATTCTTCTTCACTCGCACGAAGACATCAGTCGCCGACAGCTCGGCAGCCTCCTTGGTAGCCCGTTTTCTATTCTAATTCCGATGCTATTCTGGTACCGGTGGAGGCAGCCAATGGGCAACGCGTCCTCCCGGCTACCATACGCGCAAATACATCCCTCGCGGACTCTTCGCGCCTCGTCTCGTCCGGCGTGTGCGCCATCACCCCCTTCCCCGTACCGATCGCAGTCGTTCTCGGGGTATCGTGTGCGATGCATTGATCCTGTACTCGCATGTCACTCGTTACCGCCACCCCCTCGTCCTTCATCAGTGGCCGCGGTGAACGTCTCTGAACCGATCTCACGTTCCGCGTCGAGCGGTGGACGACCGGATCGAGACGATCGGGCTCCACGAGCGGCGGTTCTGCTCGCCGATCAGTCGGGACAATCCTGAAGGGAAGATAACGTCAGGCGGAGGAAGGGCGCGATGCAGTGGCGTCGACAGAAGAAGGTCACCCACGTGATCGGCTCCTCGAATCATGTGCTACTCTTAGCGAGGTACCAAGATGGTACGGAAACACCACCTTCTCAACATAGCGGCACGTGGATAGCTGGCGGCTTGTTGTTTAACATGAATCGACACATGTAGAGAGTCAATGTATAAAGAACGTTGAGATTTAAGCGGAGGGAATGTAGCGAAAGGTGAAAGAAACCGGTGCAAAGTTCCTCTTGTCGCAGTTTGTACGAATTGAATCATTTATACGCTTCTCGCTCGGCGGTTGAATAATTTAAATACACTTTTTGAGACGGAGTCTCGAAGCGTGAGCAAAATGCTAATTCGCTGTTTCGAAACTGCAAATTTTCTAGTATTAATCCGTCTGATTCTGTTAGTAGAGAAAAGTTCCCTATTATGAGATAGGATCCTATTATGGGATAGCGGAGTTTCTGTTAAATTAAAAGGCCACCGTCGGGGGATTCCACCATGAATTTATTGCCCTTGGAGCGAATTCTGTTTAGTGAAAAATTCATTGTTAGATTGTGTAATCGTCGCGAAGAAAGATTTGTGATTGAATTTTGGTGTTGAAAACCTGCTGTCTCATAATAGAGCGCTTTCCTCTACCGTTTACATCAAGATGTCGTTATTTGTGTATGTGAAATTCTGACTGAGACAAACGTAAAATATTAATTCGCGTACACGTTTTGCATGAATTAGCTCGGTTTTTTTTCTGGACGAAGCTCCCTTGCAGTTGTGTGCACAACGATCAATTCCATAAACACTTCCTGCGTGACACGATCAATTTTATGCGCATTACATTTGGAGGGACATAGCTCCTGCGTTAAACACAACGTACGAAGTGGTCGTTTCGGATGTCACGGAAATGTCTAACATTATCTCTCGTTATTAAATGCGATTGACAGTCCGGCAATTACGTGTCCATTAATCGCTCACTTTTTATCAATTTAATTTACATACGTGTACGGACGGAGCATCCAGTTTCCTCAAAGTCGAATCCACTTGATATTTGCAGCGTTAAATATTTCGATATGTAAAAATCTGATTGTACAATATGTACACAACTTAACGTGATATTAGTTCTTAAAAAATGTGTAAATTAGAACGTTATTAGATATCCTCAAAATGCCTTTCGGGTATCTTAAGATTCGAATTATTAGAAACCCCGGATATTTCGCATATTGTTTAAATCGCGAGATTTTTAACTCGAGTTTAATTGAAGACAGCAGCACGCGGCTCGTGACTCTCGGCACTAATCACGTTGTTCTTGCTTCGACAGCTCCACCCGGTGAGGAGGACGAGGAGGAGGGTTTGCGAAAGGACTATGTGAAGAGCCAGGAGAAGGAGACGAACGCGCACACACACTTCGAGCGGAATGGCCAGCAGAGCGGCTACAAGCCACGTCGGGCTGGTACCAGCACCAGCGGCGGAAGTACCAGCGGCTACGCCAGCAGCGGCTCAAGATCGCACAGGGACGAGAGCGCGGGCTCGCCGTCGCAGCCCAAGATCATCTTCAACGAAGAGGAGTACACGAGGATCACGACGCCGCGGCAGGATGTCCTCTTCAAGAAGGGCTACCTGTCGCGCAAGAAGCCCTGGACTGGAAACGCGAGCACTAGCGCTACGCCGTCGACCACGGAGAGTCAGTCGGCGTCACATTCCACCGCAGGTGATGATTGTAGAATAAACGTATTGCTAAACGATATAATGCGCCAACAGTGCGTGTGTTAAAACGTCAGCAAACTATCTCGTTTTTTTTGTCACCAGCGGGTCAAGTTAAAATATTTCAATTTTATAAGGTATTACCGTATTTATATTGTATACAGTATTGTTATTACTGTCTGCTGTACGTTTAATTCTGATACCGTCAATTGGTTATTGTTGAAACGTGAATTCTAACGTGTACTCGCATCTATATGTCTATTGGAGAAAAGAGAGCCTGCACCTTTCGTCTTTTCTACAGACACTATTTTGGAGAAAGTTTTTATCATCCTGTCGCTAATGTGTTTAGTCTGTCGATCGTCGAGTATACGTTTAAACGATAATATCTTTGCAGACGGCAGCGAAACTACAGAGGACCAGCAACTATTGGATAGGGACAGTGGAACAGGAGAATATCCGCCCATGGTAGAGCCAGGAGCGCAACTAGGATACGGAACGTTTTACGATCATGCGAGCGGTTACTATTACGAATATCCTGTGATGTTGGTCGGACCTGCACCAGTACCTGCTCAAGTTGGACCAAGCGTTCTAGCGACTGTACCGTGCGGCCCGGTCCCTTTAAGACCGATCGAGTGGATTAATCCTGCCTTCGTGCCTAAACTTGCCAATCAACCGTATTGCTTGATGGACTATCAGGTAACAGTCCGGAATCTCACTTGTATATTTCCATCAAATGTTTCGATTGAAGTAAACTCACATAAATTTCAACAAAGTCAAAATATGTTTAACTGAGTAATAGAATATTTATTCTGGGGAGAATCGACTTAAACCAAATTTGAGATAGTTTATTGTTACTGTAAATTAATATTAAGATTTTGAGATACGGGAAAAAACTTGTTTCACGTTATATTAATTCCAATGATGATAATATATACTTTATAAATTATTATTTGATTATCACTCAATTATTCATTTATAGACTAATCAAAGTACAGAACCAGTTACGATAGTGGAGGAGCAGAACGGCACGATAGTGGCAGCGGAAGCTTCCAACAGCATGTGGAATGAGAGTGGCACCGGTAGCGCTAGCTGTAGCGGTAGCGTAGCCGAGGAGATCGAGGAGCAAGCCGAGGAAGCGAACAACGCGAGTATGGAGCAGCACATCGTGAAGGAGCCGCTTGCGGAGGAACAACCGCCGGAGCAGCTGCATCTCGAGGGGCAGCCACATTTGGAGAACGGCATGACGACGGTCGATCCCTACCTGGATCCGCTACTGATGCAAGAGCCAGTGCACATGCCGCATATGATGCCGGCTGTACCGCAACCGTACATGTATCCTGGTCACTATATGTTCGGGCCACCTTTGGTCAACGTTAATGGTTAGTTTACGAGATAGATAGATTTAGGATCGGAGCCGTCCCCCTGAGTAATGTGCGCGTGCTATAATATACGGATTGGCAAAATCTGTACTTGCTCTCTGCTACCTGCATGAGCAGACCTACATTCGCCCTCGTAGCCTTCGTTCTGTTCACAGTCGGATGGACGGAACAACGGACAAGTGTGTTGATTTGCCCACGTTTGCGTTTAAGAGAAAGAGGCGCATTTCGGGGAGGGAGCACTAGCGCGAGATGCACAATTTATTACGTAGCAGTCGTGTAAAGTTAATTGAGATTATACTGTTTAATGCGGATAAAAATAGTAACAATCGAAATAAAGTAGAGGATTGGAGCTTGTTAGGTTTTATTACAGTAAAGCTTACTTGTAATTGTCCGAACGTTTCTCACTTGTTAACAACTTTAAGATTTACTTCAAAAAAGTTCTTGACTCTTTGTTGCTCACAGTTCAAAAGCTACTGATACCGCGATCGTTTTCTAGAGGAAAAGTCAAGTCTCGGTTAAAGGTTGACGATTTGATTTCAAGGAAAAATGGTAACGAGACACTTCGTACGCAATTAATCGTTGCATAACCAGGCTACCGTAGAATAAAAAAATTGTAGGAAAAAAAGTAACGATATCGCGCAAGTGTTGAATTATTGATATCTGTGCGGATTTGAACGCTCCTTCCTCGTACTGCGCTACACTGGCCGTAGTACGCTTGATTGTACCTATTTCTAATGTTAAACGAGAACAGTGTCGATCGGAAGCGCGGCCAAAGGAAAGGGATATGCCCCGATTCATGACTTCTGTCCCGTCCATCGGCATCATTGCTGTTTTATTACCGCCGTGCCTCTACCACATTCAAGGTAAAAGGTACCACGCTTTAGACACGATCGTGGAAACGGGAGTCCCCGCAGCTCCATGAAACAGTATCGATGAGATTGCTCGGCGATTTTTCACGTCGAGAGTGTCCGACGGTTAGTGTATACGTAGTTTATTCTTCACGATCGTCCCTAAAGTTCCAACTCTGTACACGCTCGAGCTGTCTGTTTGTCGCTCGCGACTAACGGCATACATCACTCGCATAAATGTCGATCGATGTACTTCTCACAGCTGCGACACGCCGTATTGTATCTCATTATTCTCACATTGCACCAATAATGAAGCATATCTCATGCGAGAGTCCATTGACTCGCGGCCACCGCACGAGAAGATATACCGTCCTCCCGTGGTCGCACCGGCACGATTTAACGTCGGAAATATGTCTTGGCTGCGCGAGAGACGTGAGATGAGAGTTTGGCAACGGCAGCGCGTTGCTACATCTCAAATAGAACTCGTCAAAAATAACACTTGCGTGTCGTTCGCTTCGATATACAAGAAGTCGGAAGGCACGGAGAAGCAGCGAAAAGCCAGGTTCACTTTTCGCGACAACTCCGGCACGTTCTAGCCGCTCATTTACGCTCCTCTGATCATAACTGTATCATTGGGTCGCCAAATGTCGCACTGAAATATTATTCGTTGACCGTTCTCTCCGTGTCCCTCGACAGACCGATAACGCGCGACAATTTCTTCTGTCCAAGGTGTTACCATCCAGGGCGGGCCATTGGTGAGAACTATGGACGTAACCACTATGATGGCGTGCGCCAAGCGAAGAAAGAAGAGAAAGAAAAGAAAACAGAGAAGACCTACTTTGGTAAGTCGACAAAGCTCATCCAACGCAAAATAAGCTAAATGCTGCTAAAACTGTTCTTGTGCAAGAAATAATATGTAATGGAATATAAAATATAAGAATTAACACCAGCAGTTGTATATGTCAAGATGAATATGCCAGAAAAGTAACTATTTTCGTTACGAGATATTTTCGGCTAAAATGGTCGCCTGGTTAAAACCTGACGTTTTTCTTTTTCTGATTAAATTCAGGGTAACACCGAAGATGAGGAAGAAGGGGAATACAGTTCCGAATGTGATAATGATGTATCGTCTTCCCGATTATCCTGGTCAGAATGTCCGACCTCGGTCGCGATTACAATGACCACGACGACGACGGTGGCGGCGGCGGTGGCGGCGGCGAATCGACCGCTCAATCCCGAGTGCCAGGAATTTCATTTGCGGCCGAGTCTGCAATCGCGAATCCTCTCTGGTCCTGTTTCGACATCCGTCGTCAGCACTGTGGCCGAAGAGACCATGTCGTCAGTCAACGACACGCTGGATGTGTCATCTTGCATCGAAACGGAACCCGCCAGTCGCGAGACCGAGACGTGTGATTCATCGCCTGCTCAAAGTCTAACGAACCAGGAAGAGATGGCGATCCGCAATTCGCAGCAAGTCGTCAGGAAGACGTCTTTGGAGAACGCTCAGTCAGTGGCAGTTGGACACGTGCCAGAGAGCAGGAGCTCAGAAATTAACGGTCAAGCGAATCACCTAGTCGCGAATGTGGAGGCGATAGTAACGAATGAAATTACGGAGCAGATAAGGAGCAGTACTCCGATTGATCACGAAGCGCTCTCCAGGACTGACACTAATTTGGAGAATGATGGCGATTCGATCAGTGCCAATGCGAAGCACGAACTAGTCGAAAATAATAGCAACGACGTTAACACAGACACACTGAATAATCGCGTTAAACGTCCTGAAGGAAGTTTAACTAACGGCGATACGAGTCACGAATATCTCGCCGATTTTACGGAGAAGGCGTCAAAGTCGAGATCAGCGAGCCCTCGAGACAATGGCTCCGACTTAACAACGATGAACGTCAACGAAAAAGAGGAAATTCAACGACTGCGACACTGCAACAATTCGTCCGTTGTGCGAGCAGCGTCACTTGGATTACCCAGAAAGTACAGCAAGAAGGGTCTAAAATTCGTGAGAGAGTCTACACCCGGGCCGGACTTGGATGATACCGCGCACCTGGAGAACAGGACGCTCGTACAACAGTTGGAAGGTGTCGAACTGTCGGACGCGGATTGCAAATGCAGTATTGCGAACGATAAGCTGGACGAGACGGAATGGAAAGTGACGAACGAGGAAGTCGCATCGGAGGTGCGTGACGAGGACACGGTCAAAGCAGTAAGCCGGGATACTGTCCAAGGCTCGAACGAAGATTCCGGGTTTGAGAGCCAGACTCGACCGTCGAAGAAGTATCCCATCACGGCTGCGGTGAAGGAGTGGCTGCGCCGAGCGAACTCGCCCGATCTTTTCATAACGTCGGCGTCAACCTCGGAAAGTGAGACGGACGAGGATGATGATGAAGAAATGGATGCAAAGCCGCCAAAAAACTTGCAAGGCAACCCCATGCCTGCACTATCTGCTAATAGCGGCGTCGACAACGTCACGTTGTTGTCGCGCACGGCTAGCTGCGGCGAATTCGCAAAGACCAACAACAATAACAACATCAATAACAACAATAACGCCAGGAACGATCAGACGGAAGCTGATTTGACGTCGACATCGATCGGCAGAAGAAAGAGTGACGCGAAAGTTGTGAAGAGAAAAACAAAGGCAAAGAGAAACGACAAGCGGAACAGGAACGTCAATGAGAAGACGCAGAACCAGTTGGTTTCCTCGTTGGCTTCGTTGGACTTTGTCACTGCCGTGAGATCGAGAGACAAGCCGAAAAATAATGTTGGTGACGTTTGCGAATTTACTCAGGAGGATAGCGTTGCGGGTATGAGGGTTGCTTTAAGTTCTCGGATAAACTCGAAGAGAGTTAACGCAAGACGAATGAAGACATTGAGGAAAATCAGTCAAAATTCTGTTGAGAATATCGACATCAAGATGCGACGTAAAGATACCTTAAACGGCGGGAGGAGCAAGGAAACGAGCGAGGACGGTACGCTGAGCGTACGGACGTTTGAGAAGGGGGAGATAATTGTCTCGCAAGACGGCAGATTGTTACCGACGTCCTCGTACGAACCTGTTCCACTTAACGATCACGGTAATGCCGTCGTCAAGTCCGCTGCTCACATAGACGTGATTAACAAAAACGTGGAGGAGAAGACCAGCAGCGAGAACGAGGAGAACAGCGTAATGATAGCGTCCTCGGTTAGCATAGAGGAGCCCGACGTGTTGGAGTGCTGGGAGGCGGAAACTGTAGAACCTGTGATAACCCCGAGGAGGATGCTGCAAAGCCCGGGAGTCTTGTGCGAGGGTGAGGCGGCGGAGGACGATAACGTCGAGATCGAGAAAGCTACCGTCGAGCATGTGCAGAGGTATTACAGATTGGCGCGCGATACTGTCAACACGGAAGAGGAGTCAAGCGAGTTCAGCACGTCGGTAATCTCGTCCATGTCGAGAACAGTGCCAAATGATCCGGAGGACAAAACGATCGGGTATTTCCGCGGCGAGGAGATCCCGATCTTTATGCCGGACAAAAATCAAGACGTTACCATGGAGAATACCGGAAAGATACCTGTCGACGAGGCGTTCGAGGTATACGAGAGCTATTACACCGGGAAATCGCCGTTCTTGTCGTTCGATACGAAGATGTTCGGGCAACGGCCGTTGTACGGTCAGAACGGCGAGGGTCCGATACCGTGCAGAGCGGTGTGCTGCAATATACAGTAACTCGAAAAAGATACACCCTACCGCAAACTCTTTTTCAAAAGATAAGGCAACAGGATATATTATTATAACATAGCTTATATTATAATAATATATTATTGCGTAACCGCGTCAGGGCCGTCCTCTTCGAAGTAGGCCAAGACTTGTGCTTTCCCCGGGTATATCACGCACGTATGTGTACATGTAATATGCACACAATGTAAAAGCAAATGTCCCGTCTTCGTCGGGCGGAGATTTAACGAATCGCTATTCTTTCAATAAAGTTCAGTGACACGCTCAAAGAGGACTAAACGTCATTTCAAAAGCATCGCGGACCGCGATCCGTTCTTTTGTAAATAGTTTTAAGAGTTCGTTTGTGATCGTATAACTTTCTTGTGGAAAACTTTCAAAATTTTATGTGTGTGGGAGCATGCATTGTAGCAGTCACTCTACGATAGCATTTTACCATTATTACCATTAAACATTGTACGTCATTGTTCGCAATCAAAGACAGAGATTCGTAACGTTTCTCGACGTTCAGCTTTTATCTGGACCGAGCTTGTCAAGAGGCAATACATTGTTTTCTCCGGATTTATAATAGGAAAAGCGTGAATTTTATTTTGCATGAAACGAAAGAGGAGGAAAAGAAAAGAGAGACAGAGAGAGACAGGGGGAGAGAGAGAAGAAAAATATATGGAGAAAGTGTTGAGGCACAAGAGATGCCAGACTGTTGTTTTACTCTCGCTACGATATCTCGTAATACACTCGGTCGAAATGACAAGAGCGTTATTTTTAGAAACTATATAAAAGACACGAATGTTAAAAGACTAGGAGTTATTGTTGCACGTAATCACGTTGGATGGCCTTTGCTTAGGAAAGTTCTGACTGCTCGCAATTTTTAACTCGGCATTATTGGAGTATCCCCGCATGTTCACCCGTGTGAGTTTCCTTTTTCCTTCTCCAGTCGAGAAGGGAGAAGGATGTATCGAGGAGAACCGACAGAGCAAATCGTTCAATAATACATGCTTTGAAATAGCGATACGTAATAATCGCGTAGATGTAATATCGCGTTCTCATACTAAGAGGTACTAGCTGATAAAAAAAAATGGGCAGTGGTAAGAGCAGTGAGCTGTAGCTTTAGCCTGTTATTGAGAAGTATAACGAGATGTATAGAAAAATCTTACGACGGTTACATAACGATCTATATTGCAGTAATCGACGGATGCTTAGAGCGGGCGATCTTTCCTGATGCTCGGTTAACACGAAATTTCAATTTGTAAAAAGATCGTCCCTCGCGTCTTCGAGGTGTAATTTAAGAGAGCGACATCCTTCGAATTCGGGCATCCCTGAAACCGGACAAGCATTCTCGACTCCGAATTTAGCTAGCCGACGATCGCACGGATGATCCCGCCTCTAAACATTCGTCGAGGAATCGGGGAGAAGTAAAGCCTCTCTTTTTTTTTTACTCTTTTCCCCGATAGACGCGTCTCGACCGGAATCGGATGAACGCACCGCAAAGATGCATATGTGTACTTATTATGCATATACATAAAAAAATAAAGCTGCACTTGTTACGACAATAGCCCACGCTTTAGTTGATTTGTGTCCAGGGATAGATCGGGGAGTACCTTAGATTGCATAATCGCGCGTAGGTCGATCGTTAGACGTGGTTCGCGGAGTCATGTATGTCCCATATCATAACGCCCGTAACATACCTCAGAGGGATTGTGTAAATAGAGTCATTCTCGAGGCATTAGCAAAAGGCAAAAAAAAGAGAGATAATAAGTACCGATAGTACATTAATGATAATAAAGAGGAGGGGAAGGAATTGGATCGAGTAGCGACCATAAGACAGGGTGTGAGGCCGTGGATGAAGATGATAACAGGACGGCGGGGAGTAAAAAGAAACGCGAAACCTTATGTCACGCAACAGCAATATGTAGACACCATTGTTCCTGCAAAGTTCTAGTTTCCTTAAGCATGAATAAATCATTTCCATAATGATCAGGCGTAGCTCTATGAACGTTCGTTCACACCAAAGTAACATTAAAGCATAAGTACGAATATTATATCGTTACATTGAAAAAAAAAAGATAATGCGCGTTGCATCAATTGTGTGCCTTATTCTGTGGCGGCCGTTTTTGTAACTATTTCAAAGCACTCTCCTTGATAATAGTCAGTAGCGAGATATCAAGGTGCGATTAAGACTTGTTAAAATTGATGAGAGAAAGAAAGAATGAGAGAGAGAAAGAGAGAACGCGAGCGAGAGAGAGAGAGAGAGAAAGAGATAAGTGCGTGAGAGGGCTCGCCCGCTTGATGATGATGATGATAATGATCCTTGTCAATGCATGCGTACCCGAGGACTCGTTTAGATTTCCTTTTCATGAAATTATCGACCTCATCGGATGCGTCCGACCCAATTGTATGCCGATTATTCATATAAAAACATTAAAGCGTTGCATCTTATACACGAGTCATGTTACTGTACAAGTATATTTTAGTTGAAGTTAACATGTATGAAATAAGTGTACTTGAATTTTGTTGTGTTTTTGCTTATAAAAATATGAATAAAACGTTTCAATTTTTAAAGTCAACACTGTCCCCGATTTTTATTCCCACGTTTCAGACACCCGGTTAGAAAAAGACGAGGGGGAAACCGCTGACCAAAATCTTGTACACCAATGCCCACTAATGCCCAGTGGGCATTACTTTATCTTATTATCTTCTTTTATCTTATTTATCTTGTTTTATCTTATTGTATCTTATAATGCCTCAGCAAGACGTAATGCCCCAAAAATGCCCTAGTAATGCCCGGTAATGCCGCAAATCTGTACACCACAATGCCCTCAGCGGTTTCCCCCTCGGAAAAAGATGAATGATACATTGCATTAAGATTAAAATTGATCTGCATTAATAGAAACGGGTATTAGAAAAAAATATGAGCAAGTTAAATCGAAATTACGCTGAATTGAAAGAAATGGACAAATGTGGGAGAAAGAAAAGAAAATTGACAAAGAGAAGATAGAAGTTGTTTGAAATGAAAATGTTTCTCACTCACCACCCGATGCGCAGCAGCGGAGTTAGCCGCGGTGATTCTGTAACATACAAATAAGAATTTATTAGAGCAGTGTTCAGAAAAATGAATATTGTAAAACATAAGTAATTCTTATGCGTATTAAACGATTTGGTTGGAAGTTTCAACGATTAATGCGCAAGAGATTTTCCCGCAAAGGGATCTTCACAAGAATAAACTGATTAATTTTACACTAAATAAAAAATATTTACCGTAAAGTTGCTCCGCTGGCGCCCGATGCCTCTCTTCTAGACCTCCTCCACTGAGATTGTCCTCCAGCACACTCGCGAAAACACAAAGATCGCTCGCGCGATTTTACACTCCCGTTTATAAAGCCCACGTGAAAATATGTATTCTGTTCCGTCAAGTTCGCCTCCACCTCGAGTCGGCGGGTATTATACCCCAAAAAACTGCCAAATCTCGGAAGTGTGGCCATCGACAGGAACGGACATTTAACGAATACTTTGATCAAATGGGCTTTGAAAAGTCTTTAGTTCGATTATTTAAACGGCACTCCCGAACGCGGCGAAAATAGAAACTTTGTTACACGCGCACTTTTGTTCGTATAATTGTTAGTGAGATTATTTTTTGGCGAGCGATCGATATATTATAATTTTCCGTTATCATTTTACCCGACGATTCGTGTCTTACTTTGCGCTTTCGATCGCATTTTCTCATCAAATTACGCGTGATATTCGTCTCGACGAATCACCGTTGAAATCAACGACATGGATCGCGACAATTGCTTAAACGCGATTGATAAATGTCAATT